TCACTAATAAGTTCAAAATGCAATTATCTCCCAAATGCAAAGTGTTAACTTTCTCGTCCAACAGTAAGGATATCAGCAAAATAATCCCAACAGCTTTCATGTCTTAGTCAACAAAGCATATCTTGAATTTCTAGCAATAAAAACTGTGTCTGGACTGTTTGGTTCAGTGTATTTGCAGGACAGGACATTGAAATTAAATTAAACATTTTAAAAAATTTCAAGTGCTTTTCAAGTATTGCCTTTAACTTACTTATGCCTCTGAAAAATCTCTGTACGTGTGATTTGGAAATCAATTAACAAAACATTTTTTCAGGGGTCTGGACCTTAATACATGTAAGGACAGTATGTCTGACAACCAACAAAACAAGAAGAGAAGCAAAGAAGGTAGTCTAACCAAATTTTATATTTATATGTAACATGTGGAAGCTGAAGAAGAAAAGGGACAATGTTAACTTGAAATCTGGCTGGTTCTCAAAACCAAGCAACCACAAAATATTTGAATAAAAACTCAGAGTTATTTTCCACCTTTGAAAAGCCCTGAAATCTGTTTTGATTCTAATACCTTTTCTATTTTAAAATGCTGTGCTCTTGTTAGAGTTTCTGTCAATGTATTTCTCATATTTCTGTTCTACAGAAATAGGAGCTGTAACTGGAAATTTTTTAGATTATATTTATTTTTGTCTTACATTGAATTAGTACACTTACCTACATAACTAAAAAATAATTTGGATTTATGCATTCATATTTCCAAAAATTATACCAGGAAGCATGTATAGGTAACTTAGTAAAATGAAACATGCCTTCTTTCTTTCTTTCTTTCTTTCTTTCTTTCTTTCTTTCTTTCTTTCTTTCTTTCTTTCTTTCTTTCTTTCTTTCTTTCTTTCTTTCTTTCTTTCTTTCTTTCTTTCTTTCTTTCTTTCTTTCTTTCTTTCTTTCTTTCTTTCTTTCTTTCTTTCTTTCTTTCTTTCTTTCTTTCTTTCTTTCTTTCTTTCTTTCTTTCTTCCTTTCTTCCTTTCTTCCTTTCTTTCTTTCTTTCTTTCTTTCTTCCTTCCTTCCTTCCTTCCTTCCTTCCTTCCTTCCTTCCTTCCTTCCTTCCTTCCTTCCTTCCTTCCTTCCTTCCTTCCTTCCTTCCTTCCTTCCTTCCTTCCTTCCTTCCTTCCTTCCTTCCTTCCTTCCTTCCTTCCTTCCTTCCTTCCTTCCTTCCTTCCTTCCTTCCTTCCTTCCTTCCTTCCTTCCTTCCTTCCTTCCTTCCTTCCTTCCTTCCTTCCTTCCTTCCTTCCTTCCTTCCTTCCTTCCTTCCTTCCTTCCTTCCTTCCTTCCTTCCTTCCTTCCTTCCTTCCTTCCTTCCTTCCTTCCTTCCTTCCTTCCTTCCTTCCTTCCTTCCTTCCTTCCTTCCTTCCTTCCTTCCTTCCTTTCTTCCTTCCTTCCTTTCTTCCTTCCTTCCTTTCTTCCTTCCTTCCTTTCTTCCTTCCTTTCTTCCTTCCTTTCTTCCTTCCTTTCTTCCTTTCTTCCTTTCTTCCTTTCTTTTTCCTTTCTTTTTCCTTTCTTTTTTTCTTTCTTTTCCTTCTTTTTTCCCCCTTCTTTTTCTTTCTTTCTTTTTCTTTCTTTCTTCCTTCCTTTCTTTTTTTTTTCTTTTCCTAATAGTTACTTTCTGTATTTCTTCATAATAATATTTTAATGTCCAAAAATAACTGCATTTGCACTGTCTTTCTGGTCAGTGAATTATACTGCTTTTATGCAAATACTAATGTATTGCTGCAGGTTGTGGAACTGTTGTTGCTGTTCAGAATGCAGATAAGATAATGAAAGAAATGCATGGGTCATACAAAGCTCTACAAAAAAATAGGTAAGTTATATTAATATTTATTTTGCAGTTGGCTGTGTAAAAATGGAGACAAAGCAGATAGTAGTCTATGAGTAAGGAAAGTTTTCCTTCATGCCAGATGTTATATACAGCTATATATGCTGTGTGGTGTCTTTCCGACATCAATTATTAGCCTTTGCTGGAGGCAGGATATTTCACTAGATGTACCAAACAAGTTGTTTGGTACGATAGGAAAAAAAGATACGTTACATGGTTTTACATCAGCATTTGACTGATTAACCCCAGTCAATTATCTTGCATACAGCTTTAAGATTAACTTAGACTCTATTTCTGTACTTCATTATAGACACAGGTTTTAGTTTTTTCCATATTTTAATTTTTTATTTTTCAGAAGCCAGGTAGCAGAAATCTGAGGCCTATCTGCACAGCCTCTATGCTTTCAACCAGATTATAGCATATTTTATAAATAACAAAGGTATATCTGGTCTTCATAATTCTTCTGACACCATGCCCTAATGATTCATTTAAAAAACATACTGGAAGTAATTGGGTTTTGTCAAGACAGGAAAGGTGGACAACATCTCTTTCCATTCCTATTGTTTGGTTTACATTGTTTGTCATTCCTCCTTACTTAAGGTCCATCTCTGGCATTGTAATTGGATGCTTCTTCCAAGGAGAGCCACAACTTCCCAGATGGACCAAGAAAGAAAACTTACTCTGGCTTTCTTGGATCTTAACAAACTTCTTGTTCACAGTATTCTCCAGTCATACGATTATTTGAACTCAGTAGGCTCCTTCCTCTTACTTTCACACTGTATTTTGTTGTTTGTGGGTTTTTTTGCCTTTTAGATACATAGCACCAACATCCAGACTGTGGCCAGATCAAGAAGTGGCATGTTCCCCAAGCAAAAATCAGTCAGCATTACAGAGGAGACATCACATTCCTTTACCCTTCTTCCTGAAGACAGAGAATGTGAGCTGTGGCTTTGACTTCAGCTTTCTGCTGCAGACCTCATGCCCAGAATCCAGCATTTCAAAATCACTTACGGATATCAGTGCTTTTGAGATCATAAAAGCACAAATACAACAAAGTAAGTTCAATTTTAGAACTCATAACTTTCAGATAAAGTTATATATTGCTTATCAAATTTGATGGCAAAGTCTTAGAAGTCCTTTTGCTTTAAACTTTTTGCCTGTTTTACTTCTTCACATAGACTTCAGCCGTGTTGACCCTCTTCTTTAATTATAGGTGTGTGTATTTGCAGAATGAAGTAGATAACGAGAAGCAATGACAGACCATGACCTCACCATTTCTATTACTCTGTATGATGAAACTAAGCCCACAAAATGTAACGTGTCATTCTCTGTTGCTGGAGTGGGGCCATGATGGCCTCTCACTTTTTTTCTCATACTGGCAATATTTATTAGCTACATATTGAAGTTAGAAAACATCTGAAGAAGAGGATAAATATTTGCTTATATTATTACAGTAACATTATTTCTAAATTATAATTTTTATAGTTTTCTATATAAAATAGAATCGTAAAGTTCAGTGTCACAATTAAATTTCAGCTTAGAACTTTTTTCTGCATAGCAGATTTATAGGTTCATCCTGCAACCATACAACAAATTCTTGGTCCCCAGAGCCCTACAGTTTGAATAAATTTATAAATTAAAATGGAAGTCTGTTTATGAACATGAAATTAACCTTTAATTTATTTTTATGTTTAAGGCTTCAATCTAACAATGGTAAAAACCAGGAGCAAGAAATCTGAGGTAAGATGTTGTTATGTATAAAACTGAACACCCTTTATAAATATTATATGCTTTCAAAACCTTAAAAATAGCAATACAGAAGAAGTGTAGGTCGTTTCCTTTGCTTAGTCTTCATTTTTTTATGGACTTGAAGCAGTTTTACGTACATTTTATGTGTATATATATGTGTGTGTGTGTGAGCAGCTCTTCAGATGTGTATCAACACTTGGTCAGTAAGATGTTACATCAGGGATACTGTGTTGAGGAAAAAAGATAATTTGGTCTTTATGGGTATTAATTAATAACCCTTTGCACAAAAGGCTTACTTGACTTACTGAATCAGCTGTAGACTTTAGTGAATGCACTACAGAATAGAACAGCAACCACAGGAAAAAAAGTCAAGTATAGAAGTAACAGCAAGAGGTATGACAGAAGATCATGAAAAGGGCTGTGGAAAAAAACATTTCAGATGGAAGGAAGTGTTTAAGGAAGATAATGTATCTGACCTCCATGTGCTTTAATACAACTTTATTTCATGTCTTAGGCTCTGCTGATTTCTAAAGGCATACTATTTGGGATAAACTGAGCACTCATGTTGATGCCATGCAGACTAGACAAAGCCTTCAGAACTGTGAATTTCAATCCAGCACACATTGCTTTTCCTGGCACATTCAAACCTCAGACTGCCCTTGGAATGCAAGCAAAAATTTCCTGCAGATTGCAAACTGATGTTGAATATAGACATGCAAATGAGTATTCAGAGCATATGACTGTGTGATTATTTCTATTGCACTCGTTTGCATAAAAATATACAGTATACTCAAGCTTAATTTTTTCTACATTCCCTTTGAAGTAAAGAACGGAAATATTATTTTCAGAAAATTATATGGTACTTTTCAACTAATGGGGTGGGAAGAGAAGGAAGAAGGGAGGAATAATAAAATACACACAACAGACTTCTGTGTTAGCTGCCATGTAAAAATGGGTGGCTGTCCATTTAATGTCACCAGAAGTGAAGTGCAGACTGTGCTGTCTCCCAGTGTGCTTAAAACTCCATGATCTAAATCTGTGGCCTGTATAATATGGCTTCAGGAATTTTGGAAGACCACAGTAAACATATGGAAGATCTCTATACTTAGATTTATAATAATGTCTTTTAAAATCTGTAAGTAATTTGTAAGAATTGCTTGCTTCGTGGATACAATAGCATTCTGTTATAATAGTTGAGCTTGTGCTTTTTTAAAAATAGCTTACATGAAATCTAGTTCCATTGGGAATATAATTACTGGTGTCAGCAGATTTTGGAGGGTTACATGAAAAGACTAAATATCAACATAAGAGCAGTGCTCTTATTCAGTGAGAGTGCACAGCAAGAAAGAAACTTTGGCACATGAAGCTACTGACCAGCCTTTCAATTCTTGAAGTAAATGTGCTGTGTGGTGTAAGACAACAGTAAATAACTGACAAGATGATTTGCATGTGTGGACAAAGCTGATTATTTTTAAATTGTGGAGAATTACTTGTGCCTTGTAGGATCTTACTTTCTGTACTATTAAATACTTAGAAATCATTCTGGATGTGACAAAAATTCATGTATGGATGTGAGAAAATGAATGTATTTTCTCAAGGTTTTGATATTACAATTCATATTAAAGTAAATGTGGGAATATATAGAAGAACAATAATTTTCTCATTTTTTTCATTATCTACTTGATCATTAGTGATTAGATGTTACCTGTATCTGTTGTATAGCACATGATTAATGTTTTTTATGGAAATTACAGTTTCATTTGCCACCAGTGACATTTCAGCCTCTGAGAACAATTCATCTTGCTCCTTTGGAGGATAATATAGTCAGTGAAAGCACCAACATCAGAAATATGTTTAATATTATGAACTCTGCTCCTCAGCCTGTAAAACCAGTTACTAAATTGTATGAGTATCAGTTAGACAATCTGTTGAAAAGGCACACTGAAAAGTCAACAGACCTGATTGTGGCTACTATTTCTGAGAAGTTCACTCCAGTGAAAGACCTGTATTACTTCAGCATGAGTAGCTGTTACATGCACCCTAGCAACAAGAAAGAAGAAGTTCAAAGCAAGTTAAAATGGAGGGAAGCTGAGGTAGCTACCAACACTGAAAAGAATGACCAGATGAAGTTTTCAGTGGCTTTTAAGAACATAGGTCTTAGGACCCAAGCCAGTTTCTATGATGGTAATCACACCTACTTCAGCTCGAGTAATGCTCTTATGAACTGTGGAATATTTCCAGCTCAGACAACATTTACAGTGTCAAGCAACAGCAATGCCTCAAGAGCTGGCAATAAGGAAAGAGCAGGGAATTGCTGTAGAACTGGTCTAGAAGAAGGAAATGCTTCAGAGATGATACTGGATTACAGACCACAGGAAAATGCTGAGAGTACAGACTTTGTGCTTAACAATCCTGATTTAGAGCCTTTCTTTAAAAATGAAGTGATAGACCCCTGCAATTCCTTAGGAGATCATTCTGTAGCTGCAGTAATTCACAGAGTACAAGATCCTTCTGGAAAACAGACAGAAAATAATGTTTGTCTCTCTGAAAAGGGAAAAGAAGCAATGTCAGAAGGAACTTCAAAAGACCCAAATGAGCTTGTACCTGTTGTTCATGTTCCATTCTCTGAACAGGAACCAGCTAGGCAACCACACATTGCTAAACAACCTGCCACAAAAAAGAGTGTCACTTGTAGCTTGCCTCCTTATGTTGCTCAGAGCTTCAACATTCTTGCTCACAAAGAAAATGAAAAAAGTAAAATAAAGAATAGAAATAAATATTCATCAAAATCTAAAATGAGTAGCAAGATAAAGGTATCTGAAGAGTTAATTGTTTCTGATGAGGTTGCCTCAAGGTGTGATGCCAAAAGTCGGATTTTTCCATCTTTGGAACTGCCACATGTGGTATCTGAGACTTCCCTGAAGCACCAAAAAAAACCCCCTCAAGCAAACAAACACCATTTTGCTCAGAGTGCTCAGAAACTTCAAAAACAAAGTTTCTCCTGCAGTTGCAAAAGTTCAGTTATCTTAAGGAAACCTGCTACTCTGCTTTCTCTGCCACATGCACAGTCTGCTTCAGATGTTGTAGATCTGAAATACAGCGACATGTTCGAGAAAATAAATTCAAATGATGAAGGCCCAGGCATTTATGAAATGTTTGGAACTCCTGTCTATTCCCACATGCGTGAGCTTGATCGACACGAGAGCAGATTTTATAGAGATGTTTGTTCTGCTCCATCTGGGAGATGCAGTTCTAGGGCCTGCAGATCTACCTATAGCAAAGGGAGAGAGAGCAGCCGAGTAAGAAGTACTCAAAAGAGAACAACACATTCTAAGCCAAAGAAGACTATACCTGGCACTAAACAAAAGCAGAAAGGTTTAATTACAAAGGACAGAAGTACCAAGTTAAGTGATGGCAACACAGAGCAAGATCATGTAATAACTTCTGATTCAGGCTTCCAGATAAACACTTCACGGAGCATGACATCGTTTCACGAACAGACAGATCGCCAACTCATGTTTTTAGAAGCACTTTCACAATCAACTGAGCAAAATAATTTTTTTTCAAATTTCAACTTACCAACTATTAAAGAATTTTCTTTGGAGCAGTCTTTAGACAGTCAGGATATGGCCAGCAATCAGAGAGCTGCTGCCTGTAGCCGGAGTCTTCTTCATTTTGGTGATGAAGAGTATACAGAATGCATTGATCTAAGTAGCAGTCTACTAACAACAGACCAGAACACTTGTGTACCTCTCTGCAGGGTGGATGAGCTTGGCTGCAAAGGCTTGGAATCAGACCAGACCTCCTTCCAGTCTCTACATAAACATCAAGCATTGCCCTTTTCAGACAGACTGGAGTGTCAAACCCCTACAAAACAATTAAATCACAGTTGGGCACACACACCCCTGAACAGCAGTTTGGAGTTGACACAGCCTTCAGTGATTCAAACAATAAATGTTACAAGCCCCAGTTTCCAGACAAGTCAACACATTTTGTCCTGGGCAGATAATAAGGATGTGACCGATGAGTTGCTTTGTTGTCTGGCTGAAGAGTTGCTAATGCTTGAAGAAAAAGACGTCAACTCTTCACCAATAAAAAATACAGGTTCTAAAATGCAGAATACCCATACTAAAGAAGAAAATACAATTAATGGAGATGGAGCAGTAGTAAATAGTGCTCTAGAGAAGGTAAAAGTAATTTCTTGTAACTTGCTAGTTCCTTTGAGTGATGTTTCAGCACATGTTTGGATGAAAGGTAGGAAATATGTGCTCGTTAATGATCAAGTCTCTTTTCCTTAGGCCAGCTGCCACCTGATTCTTCCAGTGCTCAGCTACCTATGGTAGGGGCTGCATGTCAGGACATGAACTGGATAATAGTAAATCATGACAGGAATAGCTATCAAGGCTTATAGTGAATAAAAAGGAGAGGCTATTTTAACTGAAGAGCATGTATAAAAAGGTGGTGGGGCAAGGCAAAAACTATTGAGATCTTGACATCTAAGGAATATGAAAAGACGCTACAAAAGGTTCTTGTGTATGCAGAAGGGCAAATTCCTTAGATGTCTGCGTGCATCCAGATCCTTTTCTAGGTATGAACTACAAATATTGGCTTATCAGACAGACTTAAGGCTGTTTATTTAACATTTAATCAAAGCTCAAGCTCAAAAGGCTTAGATTCTGGCCCCCAAGTCAGTTGAGAACCTTCACCTACCTAGGTGCTTATCTACCAGTACTGCTTCTCCTTCGCTCTGTTAGCTTTTTGTCTATTTAAATTACAAAAAAATTCTTTCTCTACATGTTGGTACATTTCTGCAGTGTATCAACACTGTCCACTTCTGCAGACACAGGTGCCAATTATACCTCCATTCTCATTCTAGGGAGATCCACAGCTAGATATAATAATTAGTAGCGTATTTCTGAAGCAGTTTCTTCTTCCTGAGAAGTCAAGTTCAAATTGTTTTAATGATTCCCAAGTTTTGTATATATTACCTAGAGCAGGAATAATAATCATACCCTTCAGTTTAGCAAATTGCACCTATGTGACAAAAAAAGGGTAGTAAGCAGATGTCAGTTTGTCTTCCTGCCAATGGAAAAAAGATGTCAGGCCATCATCTTCTGCTTATGTATTGTTGTGATATATACTTGAAAATATCTACATAGTCTTACTTAGTATAGCAATAGTATTGATGAGCTGAGCAATAAGTATATGTGGCTATATATATAAAAATTTATAGAGAAAAATCATGCCAGGTAAAAAATACTTCTAAAATAAATGCAAGGATAATATGAAACCTTTATGTTCTTCCCTGCTTTCTCCCCACATTGACCATCCTCTTTCAAGCAGAGTAACAGTAAAGCCTTTTTGGCATCAAATGAAGAAAGTGACCTGCAAAACTTTGAGGAATCGACTAAATTACCAGGAAGCTGTTTAGCTAACAAAGATCCTATCATGTGGACAAGAGGTGAAGTCCTTGGAAAAGGAGCCCATGGCACGGTGAGTGTATGAATATGTTAAGACATGCAGTGTTTGCCTTTGATCTACTTCATACCTTATAACTGACTTTTGTCCTATTCAACAAATAACTTGAAATATTTTGGATTACACAGTGAGACATGAAACATGACAGACAGGAAGATAATATTTAAAATAAGTAAACACTCAGGTTTGTTGCATGTTTCATTTTAATAAACACTAGTTTCATTGTAGGTGTACTGCGGTCTGACGAGCCAGGGGCAATTAATAGCTGTAAAACAGGTTGTTTTGGATACATCAGATCAACTCACTACAGAAAAGGAGTATCAGAAGTTTCACGAGGAAGTTGATCTTTTGAAGACGTTGAAGCATGACAACATTGTAACTTACTTAGGAACTTGTCTGGAAGACAACATTTTAAGCATCTTCATGGAGTTTGTTCCTGGTGGCTCCATTTCCAGTATTATTAATCGTTTTGGTCCATTGCCAGAGGCTGTCCTTTGTAAATACACAAAACAAATTCTACAAGGGGTTGCATATTTGCATGACAATTGTGTGGTACATAGAGATATCAAAGGCAATAACGTTATGCTGATGCCAAATGGTGTAGTCAAGCTAATTGACTTTGGCTGTGCCAGGCGTCTGGCTTGGGTCAGCCTCAGTGGCACCCAGAGCGAGATGCTCAAGTCTATGCATGGGACTCCCTACTGGATGGCACCAGAAGTTATAAATGAATCTGGATATGGAAGAAAATCAGACATCTGGAGCATTGGCTGCACCGTATTTGAGATGGCAACAGGAAAACCACCACTGGCTTCCATGGATAGGATAGCAGCCATGTTCTATATTGGAGCCCACAGAGGACTGATGCCTTCCCTGCCTGATCAGTTCTCTAGCACTGCTGTGGATTTTGTGCACGCCTGCTTAACCAGGTAGGTAGATTTTTTAATTGAAAAATGAAATGAAATTGTAGGCACATTGCAGCATAGATACTGTTGATGAGAACTTACATTACCTCTCACATGCTACATATGATTGTACTGTAAATGCATAGGTTTTCCAGCTTTTCAGGAAAGCTTTTAAATAATAGCAGACATAAAAGAACTTCACTCTCTACAATGGTAGAGAATATTTTGTCTGAAACTCAATGGTGCCATGCTTCTGCATGAAAATTACAGAGAAAGTAAACAATAAGGCCTACAAAAAGAGAGTTTCTGAGGATTTTTAATACCATTGTAGAGAGTGAAGTTCTTTGGTTGTGCCTTGCAGTTCTGATATCACATTGGCTGAGTTTGGCCTGTGTCAGGCAAGTTGTTTTGAGGACAATATTCTAAATGAAAGACATTTCACTTAATTCTTATCCTCTGCAGTAGAAAAATGTGTTATCACTGCCAGTCCAGGAAACACATACTTATTTGAAACGAAGTTCTCTCCATAAAAAAACCCAAACCACTAGCATTTCATCCATTAAAATAATTATTTTTGTGGTGTTTGTTTTGTTTGAAGTATCAGCCTTGTCCCAGATGTTTAGATAGACTATAAATCCTAAGAGCTGAATTCCTGACTGCTAGTAGCCAGGAAGTCTTTATAAAATTAACAGCAGCCTTCTACATACCTCCAAAGACCAGATTTGAGCACTCGAGAGAAGCATGTTATTTAGTGGGTGTCACAGGGGTCTTGGAGGCAGGAAAACTGATTTCTAATCCCTGGATTAGAATTGTTTAGTATTCTTACAATTCCTATAGACCATATAACAATAACAAGAAAAACTGTAGGCTGGATATAGCAACATCATATATACTTGAATTCAGAGAGAACAGTGTTTAAAAGGTAGAAGGAATTGTTAAGTAGAAGGAATCATACAAATACAAAGCATTTACCTTTTAAAATAAAGTACTTAATTTTTCAGAAGTCAGGATGCACCTGTGGCAGCAATTTTAATGTATGATCTCACCAAGTCCTACATATAATGCCTCCCTTGTCCCATCTTCCCAATTAGTTTATTATTTAATAAATCAGTGTCCTTTACTCCTTCCCCTATTTTCTTCTCAAAATTGAAAGTAGAAGAAGCCCAGAACCCTTGACTCTAGCAAGCTGATACTGTAATTACAGTACTGTAATTCCATATGGACTCCTTAACATGCATGACATTGATTGAAGATTCCCCCAGTCTCTTCCCATAAATCCTGCCTTCCTTTTGACCAGATTTATAAAAAAAACCCAAACAAACCCTAAAAATGGGTAATGACTAGAGAAAAGCAAAAAGCAAAAAGCAAAAAAAAAAAGTCTACATTTGCATTTAGGTTTTACAAACAATTCTATCAGGCATGCATATTCATTTTATGTACTGATTTTTCAAACCCTCAATGCAGAGATCAACACGAACGCCCTTCTGCTCTGCACTTGCTGGACCATCCCTTTGTGAAAGGAAGACAGTGAATTTTTGCAAAGATTTTGCCAAACACATTTTCCATATTAAAATTTTCCACTTGTGAAAAAAAATGATCAGAAGGAACCGGACTTCAAAAAGACTAGAAATTAGTAGAGAGCAATTTGTGTACTTTTCTACTGTTAGAGAGGAGTATGATCAAAGATTGTTTGCAATGTCTGTGCTGACTGGAGTGGACGTTCCTTCGCTGTGAACGCAGGGCCACGCTTTGCTGTGTTTGGAGAGACTTTAAGAAAACCACAGATCACCAGCACCAGTGTGTGATGGGCAAGGTAAGCTGGGGTGCTGACTTGTCTGTAAAAGCCTATGGAATGTACACAATGGGCAGAAATTACTGCAGATGCTGAAAGCTCTGTGAAAGCTCTGCAGGGAGCTCGACTCAAATTTGTAGATGAGTCATTAAGTGTGCCTGGGATGATCCCATAGAAACTCCAAACCATACTTCTATTTTGGCATAAAATGTATAGAAACTTTTCTTTGGATAGAAGGGCCTTTAATTTTTAGCTGGTGGAAAAAAAAACCCACCCCCCCCCTATTTTTTTGCATACACGTATCAGTCCTTTGTTACTGAGGTACCGTATCAGTAGCAGACACTGCAGTGATAGTAGCAAGAGATACCCAGGTGTGCATATGTGCATTTGTAGTAAGAGTACATTAAAATAATTTCCTAGTTTGGCTAGGGTTACAAAGCCAAACTTTGTGACTGTTTTTGCAGTGAAGTGGTACACTTTACGGAGAGTTTCAGGTCACAATGGCTGAGGTTGAAAGGGGCCTCTGGAGATGCTTGTAGTCCAATCCTACTGCTCAGTGCAGGGTTGATGGAGCAGGTTGCTCAGGGCCTTTTCATTTGGCTTTGAGTATCACCAAGAATGGAGACTCTAGGCAACATGTTCCAGTGTCCAACCACTCTGGTAGTATAAATGTGATGTTAGAACTGACTGTCAAGTTGTGCCCATTGCCTCTTGGCCTGTAACTTTTAACAGTGAAGAGTCTGGCTTTGTCTTCCTTACTGCCCCTGTCAGGTATACACAGATAAAATTCTGCCTGAACCTGCACTTTGATCATGGAGTGGCATATGTTTTGTGGTCAAGTGATGTAATTCTCACCCTTCTCTTGGCTGATACAGAGCAGCAAAAACATAGGAGCTAAAGGCTGTAAAATGTTGTTTGAATCACTAGACAGTCCACTGCTATTTTTCAGTATCCTTAGCTTTATTCCAGTAGCCTGACTTCAGAGAGTTGGTATAAACTTAATAGAAGCAAAGAGAAATTAGATCCTATAGCAAAATTCTTTATTAAATTCTGTAGGTTTAATGTCAAATAACAATTACAGAACATTATGCCAGCAGAAGAAAAATCTAACATCACAGCAATCTTCAAAGGCCAAACAGTTAACAGTCCCATTTTGAGGAATACCGGTTGGTCCTTGTGCCAAAAATCCACAGCAACTTCATGTTAAAAGTATCTTGCAGAATAAAGGTGAGAGCCCTGGCATATAAACTCAGGCTGGATTTATGGAATTCCATGATGTGTATTAAATCTTCTCAGATTAAGGTAGTGTCTCCAACAAAGCTGCAAAGTGAATACAAGTTTTTATTTAGCATGAAATGAAACTTGGGGTCATGGTCATAGGCAGAGAAAGAATGGGGTTTTTTTTTCTAGGATATACAGATAATTAAAAAATGTCAGAATTACAAAACCTCCCCCTTATGTATGTGTCTTCTAAGCAGAGCTACCATCTTTTGTTAGTCTTGAGGTCTCCAATATTAAAGTTATTAGTTATTTGCAGTTTAAATGTCATGTTTAGTCCAGCTAATTACAGTAAAATTAGTCTCCAACTTAAAAAGGTTTGTAAAACTTTAACCCGAGTTTTTAATCAAAATGTGAATGCACATTTTTGCTTTTATAGACCTAGACTTGGAGAATAAGGTGGTTGCTCAAGGCCATTTCAGGAATTAAGCTGTTTCAGCCTAATCCTGCTGAGGAGCAGGGGAGCAGCCAGCACATCCCTGCCCACTGCTCAGCGCTTTGGGCACGCAGCTGGGACCAGGCTAGCAGAATGGTCCAGAGACAACTCGAGTTTGCATATTCCTTACTTGATGAGATCATAGGCTTTCATATAAAAATCCAGGTAATTCAGATACCTGATATCAGGTATCTAATGAGAAACAATCTTGAAAACCTTTATTTTCAGTGAACAGTGACTCAAGAGAGGAGGGTCACACTCAATTAATTTGTTATAATACTTGAGCAGGGCCCTACTCTTTTAAAGGGAGTACAGTCTTAATTTCTAAAGGCAGTGAAAAGTATGCAGGCTGCCAAGTAGCAGGTATGGCTGCTTTGCTGTGATGCTAAGATTTGGAGCTTAAATTTGAGAACCTGAAAACATACTGTCCTGTCAGTGTATGGGGTACCTAATATTTATTTTATGCAGCAATACTGAAACCTCTGAGCTGTTGCTCAAACCTCAGGAAACAGGAAGCTCCTTACACATCTCATCCAGCTACTCAACACTTGTCTTGAGCCCATAAACAGCAATATGATGTAATAATTTACATCTCACTATACGTGCATCATGCTTTCTTCTTAAGGAATCAGGCACTGAGTGCAGAAAACCCGAGTCCTTTGAGATTATTTGGGTTCAAAATCAGTGCTTTTTCACAAAGTTCGGCAGGAACTGGTGCCATGTTCTACAACCCTCCTATCAAAACTCTGGTTCTTGCACATAAGTGGGAAAGAACAAGAGTTGTAAGGCAGGGTTCCAGTACTCACAGCAGAGAGCCTTTTCTCCCCTACTTGCCATGGGCACCCACCACGATGAGGCAGCTTCAGAAACTGAATTTTAAAGGTGTTGTCATAGAATACACTCTCTGAACTATGGTAAGAAAAATGGTGCCATTATAAGTGCAGGAATATAGAGGAACCAAACCCGAATAGTGAAACTTTAAGGTTAAAAAGTAGATTTTGCTAAATCCACCTCAGGAGATGCCAGAAAAATAGTAATTCCCAGTAGCAATGTGGGAGAACACTCCTGGCAGGTGTTTTTTTTTTTTTTTTTAAGAGGTGTAAGGAATTAAGCATTTCAGAAGAAGGAGGAAGTAATTAGCTAGTTCAGTTTGGCATCACTTCCAAGCCTTTTGAATTTATTTTTAGAACTCATTATGGGAATGTTCACTTAAATCCTCATTAAAGAAAGGTAACAAAGTGTTTGCTCAATCCCTTTCACTGCCAAAGGACTGGTATTGTCTTGTAACCCGCCCCTTTCTCCCCACTCCCATTGCTGAAAGGAAGTAATTTAAAAAATTTAAAAAATTAAGCATGGCCAGCCCCTAGGCAACAAAATTACAGGGTACAGGGTCAGATGCTCACACCAGAATAAGGGAGCAGCTTAAGATGGCAAACATTTCTAGACTTGGCTTTTCAGGTATCAAAATCCTGATCACCCTAACGTAAAGGACGCAAAGGAAACAAATCAGACTTCAGACTTTAAAGCATTCCCCTATTTGATTGATTTGATGAAAAATACAATACTTAAATGGGATCTTCTTTGTGTTTACAAATGAAGTTGGACAATTAAACATAGGAAAATGGGATAATTTCTGCACAATAGAGGTGAGGTAGGGAATTTTATTGAAAATACTTTTTTTTTTTTTACAAGTTCTTAGAAATAAAGTTGGTTTTGCTAATCTCACACAAATGGCTGTACCTCAGAAATTCAACTCTATGCTACTATGACACATTAATATTTACAGTAAGCCAAAAGAATATACAGAACTGCCATTTTATGCAAATACCCAAGTATCAGATCACAGTGAGATACAGGACTTCAGCATTCCCACCATTAGGAACAGATTAGGATTCAATGTATGCAAGGATCTCAGTATTCTACAAACCTCATATCTCACAAAAAGGAAAGATGTTTTGTGTTTTTTTTTTAATAGTGTCATAGCAAAGTCTCCACTACAGTGTCATTTTACAAATTACATAATGTACGTACTCAAATTTGTAAAAAAACCCAAAAAAACCTGTAATCAAAGTGATGAACAGAGTAGTAGTGTTGTCTATTAGCCTTTTATTGCATGTATTCAGTCCTTCACTTGTGAGGCTGATCACAAATTTTCATTCATTTTGAGCACCTCAGCCAGGCTGCAATTCACACAATTCACTGATCTTGCCCTGGGTTTTAGTCAGGGAAAATTAATGGCATTTTGTTGCATATCCTCTCCCTCCTCCTCAGCCCCTACTATCACCACACAATTTATTTTCAGACACAAGGACACATACAGTTTGACTTATTTACAATTACATTGAAAACCAAAACCAATGAGTTTTATGGACATCCTTTACAGAGAAACCAAAAATTACTGTTTGGATCTCAATGTAGCATAGCAACATTTTGTCCACAATATTTCACAATTTCCCAGAATCAAAATGGGAAATACTTCTTTTGAAACAGCACCTTAGGATGAAGACCTATGATCTTTTCCAATTTATATATTAGACAGGCACTAGTTAACCATCCAGACATTTTAACTCCCAAGTTATGACAGCAATTGCTATATTTACAGTACAATATATTGCTTATCCAGAGTGGCTGTATAAGATGCATTTCATGGCACAACTACTTAAACAGACGCAAAGAAAAAAAGTACTGTAGTGCTTCAAAGAAAAATTAAGATATTTTACTGCTATTTCATTTGTCTGCCCACACTATAGTTCAGGACAGTGTATAATGCAGATTACATTTGTTAAAAATCAGACCCAAGAGTAACACTGAGATGGAAAGACTATAAAAGGATAGAAAATAGTCAACGATGCAGAAGTATGTAACAAAGTTACATTCCAAATGTAGAAAAATAACCAAGTCATTAGGGGTAAGACAGAGTTGGATTTTGTACATGGGCCAAGATTGAAGCTTAGATTTAGCAGAAAATGCAATCAGGTTTCTATTTAAATATTCCTTAAGTGTTAAAAAAAAAATATCCATAGTTCAAATAAAACTTATTCAAGTAATTACAAGCGTTTGCATTACTGGAAACAGAGTATTACATAGTAATTGATATACCTGTAGTTACATAATACAGCAACTACCAAGGGGTAGATATCAAAACAGTTGGATCATTTAAAGCACAGGTGAGTAATGCAACTGAAAGGGCCAAGCTTCAGACTTCAGCTCTGAGACTTGCAGGATTATACCAGCGCTAAGGGAATGAGGTGGCTTAGCTAAAGGTTACTTCACATCATGATCACTTCTCAGTTAAAAGAAGTCACTGAAAAACTGGCTGCTGCTACTATATACTGAGTGCGTGCTGAGGTACTTCATAGCTTATGTATAGTTGGGAGTAACAACCCAGAGAGTCAGTCCACTGCTATCCAGGCTGCTAAGCTGTAGTATTGGCTTTGAGAACACAAGAACATTCACACCTGCCATTTCTTCTCCAGAGCAAAACAGCCTGGAAACAGCACCCAGGCCACCCCACGGACACGGACAGATAAAGTGGATGCTAGTGGCTTAACTGGGAGACTGAGTTTTTGTTTTTTTTTTCAACCACCACAGAGCTGAAAAAACAGAGTATCTTCCAATTTGGTAACTAATGACAAGTACAATGCACAGAATCAATGAGAACTATTTTATTGTTGGAATATAAAGTTGGGATATTGATAGTTTTATTTACTGTGAGGACTGCGGTCACCTGTAAAAGAAATATGGCATCACACACCAGTACACTTTTGGATTTCAGAACGTGGGCATTACTCTGAAATGGTAATGGAAACAGTGAGCCCTGCTTACTATTAAAATAAATAATGACTTTTTGTTTTTAAAAAAAGAGGATTTTCCCACAATGACAGTTATGAATTGCAGTTCAGTCACATTAACCTACATAACCATTACTAACAGCTCTGTGTCTATTTTACTGCATCAAGCCAATAAACATTTAAATGCACTTCACATCAAAAGAATATGTAAACTTTTATTTTAATTCCTTTTTCCTTCAGAACACTAGGGACATTTCCAAGGTCTGGCCATAACAAGCAAGCAGAGGCCTACCCAATTTCCTGCCTCCCTGGTAATATTGTCCAGTGCTGACCCTACATGGTACTGGATACCTTCTCTAGGGCAGTGTCCCTTTTAAGCGGCTTCCAATAAGGCCTACAGTTTAAAGATAAACAAGACAAAGTGCCATCTTTGTTTGGATAACTGATGGACTCTGGCAAGATTAAAATAAAGTTATGTGTATTCTGTTATACTTACAAGCAGCTCCGATCCTGAGTATTTATGGTATATCTAAACATACAAAAATGTATGTACATTTTTCTCCACTTTCTTGTAAACAGTTGTCAGCATACTGTTTTTAATCCCTTTATCTTTGAAACATGCAAATCATACATACAGTATAAATACACAAGAAAACAATTACACTCATTCAAAAAACTAGGCAACAAAAAGTTGTGGCTGCAGTATTCAAAATTATAAATAATCAATGCTGGAGGCATTCTATACACCTAAAAGCAGACGCTCATCCTACTGTTTGTAGCTGCAGCTGTAGAAATACTGAGATTTTTGAACCTTCCATGCTATTACATTATTTATAACACTATCATCTGTGGAGACAAAGATTTGTTTACTATACCTCTTCTTTTCAGAGTGAAGGATAAAGCAGCACTTACATATACTGAAACCACGGCAGCAACAGCTGGTGTTGCTACTACTATATTAGGAAGTTTTCCATTCTAACAATTCTTAAATTAAAAAAAAACAACAAACAAAAACATAAAGAAAAACAACCTAAGAATTGACTACATGTTCATTCCTTGGGCACTTAACAGCGAATCCAGCATGTCGAATGTATCTTTGTAGTCCATATGCTGGCTGTTTGTACTGTACTGGTGATGGGCATCAGGACCGTTCTCCACTGGTTTCTTGTCCAGTTTCACGAGGGTGCTGAGATGTCCGTAGCCCACCTGGTATGTGACAGGGGGAGGAGGGGGTAAGGGAAGGTTAAAAACAGAGTTGTGAGAGGATACATACTGCTTAACAGAGGAAGAACTAGATGAACTACCTGAACTTTTGGAACTTTTGCTCATTTTGGAGTGGTGGTTGTGAGAAGCATCATTGCTGTGCAACTTCTTCCTTGAAGAGCTGGAACTAGAGGAATTGGCATCACTACTCAGGCCAACGGGACTCCTCAAAACAGTTGGGGTGACTCCATCAGTGCTATGCTTACCGCTGCCACCACTGCCACCGCCACCGTGCGGGTGGGAGTGCTTATGGCCAATGTTGTGGTGGCGATTTAAAGAGTGTTCTTTGTGTTTTTCCTTATGCTCTTTGCTAACGTGGGGACTTGAGTGTTTACTTTTCCCGCTACCCTCATCCGATGAGCTGTGCCTTTCTGAGGAAGAGACCTTAATTTTCATTTTCAGCTCCTCCTTACTGGCACCCTTTTCTGTGGGTGGGATTGGGATACGGAGTTTGAGTGAGCCACCCTTTTCTTTCTTATCAGACAAGTGTTTTTCAGGCTTCTCTGCGTTTGCAATAGGAATTTTCATTTTAATAGGAGATGTAACAGAAGAACTGCTGCCTGCCTGTGGCTGCAGGTGTTTTTTATGCTGCTGTTCCCCTGGGGTTGCTACGTAGTGTTCTCTGACATCCAGTTCAAGGGTTTCTAGTTTGCGCTTCTCTCTGTATTTATCCAAAGACATTTTCTGAGGAATAATTACAGGAGCAGCAACTTGTCCATGGTGTTTGTTTCCTGACTTATGAGAATATTCTTGTTTGACAGTAGAATGCTCAGCAAGTTTGTCAGGTCTGTGATGTACCCCAGAGTGCAACTGCACAGACGTCCCTGGTTGGAAGTTCATACTGTACTGACTAGCAGGCAACGTCTCCTGTTTTTGAGAGTATATTTGTTCTGTCCTTGTTTGTTCTTGATGCTGAGGCCATTTCTGGTGTGATGCCTAGGTCTCTTGGGACTCACCCACTAGACCCAATTGCCTTTTTGAGAACTTGGAGAAGGGGCAATTTGAGATGGGAAGAGCACCAACAACACCCATGGGCTTCCTTTGTTTAGGCATGTTGTCTCATTTTTCTGTGAAGAAAGGCATTGCAGTTCCAGCCTTATGAAGTGTTTTAACGTGTTGCCCTCCCTCGGCATTCCTGTAGCTAGTATTGCCAAATTTTCAGGTGCATGACTGTCTGGAACAGAAATACTTCCTGAGGTCAGAGGTACCGGTCCAGGAAATGATGTTGATGGTTTTTGGAAACTTGTGTTTGCAGCTACACCAGTAACTGTATCCACCAAAATGGAATTCTGGACCAAAGACGAACCAAGAAGTGAGTTCTCGGACACTCCATCACCTTTAGGTTTCCTAGCAGCCTGATTAGCCTAAATAAAAAAGGAAAGATGTGAGAAAATACACAGCTTTGGACACTTGTACAGTATCTTCTAATTGATCTCAAAGGTGAGGATAAGAGCTGACTCAAGGTTTCACCCCCTCCCAGCCCAGCTGCAGGAATAAAGAGCAAATCAGATACAACTAAAACCTCTTCCCTTGGTTCATAATTCTAGAAGTTTGTCTCTTTTTGCTAGACACTGTTATAGGAAAATTTCTTACCCGCCAATTTCTAATTCTCTTGAGCCTGCTAGGCGTTTTCTCCAGTATCTGCAGAAACTCATGAGTTAGCTCTGGGTAGGAAAAAAACCAAAGCCATTTCTTACATCTGATTCTGTAATAAGCACGTTAAACTTCAAGCATTTTTCTAGACTAACAGCTTTTGCAGTAGTTACTACAGGCTGCGCATGATTTGAATTGGTATTTAACGAAGAATTTTGTTAGACAAGTGTTGAACAAAAAAAGCCACATTATTTCAGTGTGACAGACTTCTAGCCCCTACATGCATCCTAAAAAAAAAAAAAGTCTGAATTCAAGATTTTATTTTTACTCTTGCAGAACCTGGATATGTTGCACCAAAAATTTCTAGAAAGATCTGTACAAACAATCAAACAATAGCTCCTAAAATTAGGTACTTGCCACTAAGCTTGGACATTTCCTGGATGAAGTTTAAGTTTCCTTTAAAATACAAATTCCTAAGTCACAGTTTCAGTCATTCCACCAAAGTCCAGGAACAACCAACAACAGCTCTGAACAAAATACAGGCCATCAGACCCTTTGAAGCACCCTGTTTTAAACAACAGTTTTTGATTAATTTGAGTTCAAGGCAAAGTAGTTGGGTGTGTTAAAAACTGAAGATCTTTGCCTTTCACATGTCCACAAGGAAACCTCTATGGTCTCTATGCTTGTCAGCTGCAAACAAATATACTTTCCAGCAAAATTTAATTTTACTTACAAGCTAAAAATAATTAGGTACAGTCAGAACTTGAACGCAAACATAGATCGCTTGCCCGTCTGGAAGAACTGGCTCCTCCAGAACTCCAACAAGCAAGTTATAAACCAAGCTGCTCCCAAGTGCAAAACTGTCTCAGCACTTTGGTCTGCCCGAGTCTATTACACACGCCAGCTCCATAAATACTTGAAGAATCAAGTGGTGTTCTCTGTAAGCTTGTAGCACACATCTCGTGGGATTTTAAAAATAAAAATGACACTTGCTCACCAAACACACAAAACCAACAGCCAGACCAGAAGGAAGGCAGAGGGACATCTGAAACTAAAGATAGGACTTGAAGAAGTCTACTAAGACAGACACATTTGAACTTGCCGTTTCAAGCTCAATCTGGTTCTGTGCTTCACATGACATCGACTCAAGTTTTCACTTTCAAAACAACAAATAAACATTGCCATTAGGCAATAAAAGCTCAGCAGAGGGCAAAAAAGCAGGCCATGGGGAGCTCTGCTGGGCCATCCCAAGCCTGGAGGTCTCCGGCACTACTGTGAAATAAATGTTCCACTCTAGAACTTACAGCCAAGTCCAACACATAGATCTAAGAGGCCCAGAAGCTGCCACTTCCCCTGCTGTAGTGTCTGTAGGCCCTAAATTCAGACTCCACTGTAGTAAGTACTATTTCAAAAGATAGTAAACTTTCAAGTATATGGTCCTCTAGGGATATGCTTTCTTCTGGAAATAAACCATTTAATCAGAAAAAAATATTTTGCCAGAGTTTGACGTTATCATAAGCTATACTCAATTGCTGACATAGAACTACCTTCATAAACCTGGCAAGTGTGTGTATAGCCTTGAGAACAGTTGTTTAGGTGACAGTGAAGCCATGAACTTTGACCAGTGATGTACATAAAATGATCAGGACTGTACAGATTTGCACTGGTAGATGTTCATCTCTTTCCTGGTTCTGGACAGCACTTAAAAGCAAGATTCTACCCTGCACCTACAAAAAGTCAGTGGATGCCCCAGCCCACAAAATGACACATGTCTCAAAACCCAAGTTTGTCTTCTGAAGGTCTCCCCTCTCCTGTGCCTTCCTCTCATCCAAGGATCCAGTACATGAAGGTGGTGAGACTTTAAATTACATCTTAAAGTTCTGCTTTTATTATACTATGCTCCTGTTTTTACATTAATAAACCCTTCAATAGTCAATATATGAAAAGGCAGTGTTACTCACCATCTAGTAATTCTAGAGTAACTGAAGGATCTACATATTCCCACCAGTGTTTTCCATCAGTTGATACTGGAATCTCCCAGTTGGACCACTTGCAGGCCAGGTGAATGCACACACATGCTATCACTGTAGGCTTGTACTGAAGACAGAACGTTGTAAGGTGAAGACTGTTGCACAGATTCCATAATGGGGAACACCAAAGGAAATCAAACATGTAAAACAGAAAACCCAAACAAATCAACCATTAACATACAGAATAAGATAACCTGCCAAGCAACAGCAATTAAACATTAGATCATGGAACATTTTTTTAAATTAAGTTTGTAAGATATGTTACTGCCTTAAGAAAACAAAGGCCAAGGCATTTGTCTGGTAGAAAAGCTTAATTTTCTTTTGCTATAAAAAGTGCAATGAACAGAAAACAAATTTACCAGTTACTCTACTGTACTTAAGTACTAAAGAGAAGGTATAATATATGGTCAGTTATAATGTTACAGTAAAAATCATACAGCTGATTATGACACTTCTAAAGGAGACAGTTAGAAGCAGGTACCCAATAATTCCACAGTGGCCAAATGCATTTCCTGTGGGCTTAGCTTTCATTTGGCCTGGATTTGTGAAACTTGTGAACTTGCTTTCAGCTTCCAGCTGGCAGCAGCACAAAGTTAATGGTTCAGTTTCACTGCTTTATCACAGCTTTTCTTAACAGCTGTTTCAAATACACAACCTTGCCCATCAAGGAACAACCAAGAATTATTTATTTGGAAGAGCTCTAATAACCAGCAGATATTGCTTTAAAATTACATATAAGATAATTCTCTTCAATAAAGCTCAAAGTTGTTTTGCAAGAAGTAAACTGAAGTAATTGAGAAATTAAGACTCAAGTCTGCTCTCAAATCCCACCATTCTACAGAGGCTGTGGATACACAATCCCCATTTGGGATCCTGTAACTTGAAATTTATAGAAGTACTTAAGGTTTAAAATGATATATTAAGATTAAAGTGCTGTTTCTGAAAGGAAGAACATTGGACTACTACTAGTCTATCTGAAAAGAAAATTCAGCTAGTTAAAAAGATCTTAGGCCCGCTACAATTTTATAAGTTAAGATTGGATCAGTATATTTAAACTAAAGAGAAAACTGCCATTAACTACAAGTGTAAACTAAAAATAGTTTTGTACTTACCAAGATGCTCGGATTTCTAGGTTAAGTTTAGCTCTTTGTAATCTTTAGCTGCTATTCAGGCTACCAATTTTAGACTTATGCACTCACAATCGAGAAAATGTCATCAGAAAGCACCACTACACTTCTCATTGTGCATTTAACCCCTTTGTGCCATCAGGCCCTTGTACAATACACCGCACTGCAGACAGGAAGGTACCACCACTGGAGATGGCCCAGTCTCCTGCTGCAACAAGGGTAAGACACATATTGGGGGCCCTGCAGTAAAGGAAGCTATAGTGTGCTACAACAGTGCAACAAAGAGGTTCAGGATAACAACCTGTTGGTAGCCATGAAATAGGATGTCTGTGCCAAATCCTTGCTTGCTGTAAGAGAAGAAAAATGGAGAAGTTAAGTCTCTGCACAAACTTGCCAGGTTCAACCCCAAAAATTAAAGCCATTTTACCATCCAAAAAGCACCATTTGGTATTTTCACAGAAGTGACCTGCATTTAGCTAGCCAGGCCTTTAAAAGAATTTTTTCCAAGATACAGAAAAGCCTATTACTTTCAGTAAGTGGAGATGGACCAGTCATTCCACTCACTGCCCTCCTGCTGTACAACCCCCAGGACAGTTTCCCTTTGCTTATAGACCCCACAAACACCCCACATGAGCACACGCTCCTCTAGGACTGCCTGCTTCTCCTCCCTCAGTTAGAGATAGTCCCTAGCTCAGCCTCGGACTGCAGTAGGGCGGTCCATAAAAGCCACTTCATAGCACATTGCAAGTTCTGCTCTTGGAGAGGAACACAGCAGGACAGATGGAGAACATCCCTCCCACCCCTCAAAACCGGCCACATCTCTCTCCCAAAGCCCTACAATACACCAAGCTCCCACTAAATGAGTTTTCTGCTCCCTCTAATCAAGAGCACCATACTCATAACATTTATTAAACCTACAGCAAAGCTCCAGCAGAGAACAAGGGACTTCATTTTAGCTAGTCAGGGAAAAATCCCCACACAAGACTGCAACGTGCCAGAAATGAGAAGTTCATGACTTGGGCTGTTACAGCCACCTAGCACTGACCCCAACCACGGAAACCCCAACACTCCTCACTCGAGTAAGAGAACTTACTGTAACATGCACATAATGGAATAGCTGGGCACAATGGTTTTAACTGGAGACTGAATGCTGCCTTCGTCGAATTCTTACTTTGACACTATCACTTGAAACGAGTCTACCTGCAGAAACTGTGTTGTTTAATTTTATGTCAAAGGGAATATTGTTAAACTTTTATTTGAATAATATTTCCTTAAAGTTTGCTCAAGACTGCAATGGCTTTAAAAGTTTAGATTTTTAAAAACCATCTTAAAAACATCAGTATTTAACTTGGCTTCTAATGATTGCCAGGGAGTATAAATCAGTTGTGTCTTTATGCTACACAGCTGGGCAGTGCCACAATCTAAGAATGTGGAAGCAGCAAGGTAACAGGATCTGTTTCTCCACACAAATTATTCTAATCCATAATAATCAAAAGGTGAACTGACAGTGTGACAGTGATATACTGTAATATTTACTCTGCAAACTATAATAACAATTGTGTGCCAGATAACCATGGAGCTCAACCTTTTCCTCTCCCTCCCATCAAAAAAATGTAAGGCATTATTACCAAAAATGTGAAATGAGACTATCCTAACAAAAGAAAATACAGAATGGTTGAGTAAGACTGAAACCGATGTCTTGTTCTTCATTTTTAATCAAAATAATGTTTAAAGTATCTTCAATGATTTCTATACCCTGTAAAGTTACAATAAGTTTGAATTAAGGGACGGGACCAAGAAGCATCTCTACTCTCACTGAAATGTCCCTTTTGAGCAAGGAAGAAAAGCAGATGCCAGAAAACTTCTATTTAACATCAGCTTGAAAGTTGAGTAAATCAAAACACATACCTGGAAGAAAAGAATCACATCTTGAAACACACATTTTAGCCTCAATCAAAAATTAATGTGCTTAAATACCTTACCTATACTACAAGCAGTATGGCACTGTTTCAACTCATTTACACCTAAACACTCATCATTGCCAGAACCAGCAAGAAATTTCAGCACACAACTGAAGCCTGTGGTAACCCAAGGCACAAGTGAAAACACTCAGCCCAAACTCTAAGATTTAGGACAACTTTGGTTTAGTAGAATCCATCACTAAAATTAAAGCTAATGATTTTTGGTTCCTATATTTCAGTTTGGTACTCCCTTTGTAGTAGTGGAAAGTGCATCTCCAAATGCACAAGCCAGTAGACTTTCTCTGTTGTAACTCATGACTTACAGGACCTATGACTATGGCACCAGCCATTCATGATCAGTTTTAGATTTTATAATTCAGCAATATTTTAAAACATCCACCCTTCCTCATTGCTGCAGAACCAACTATAAGGCAGGGGATTCACTGAAGTAGTAATAAAACTTTGAAACAGGATTTACTGTCCAATACACTTTCCAAAAGGCTACTGTCTCCAAGAAATTCCCAAGTGGAAACCAAAAAGCTTTTTACTGGGCACAGCCACACAATTTAACTGGTGCAATTCCAAGGTATCAGAGTCCTTTCTTCAACACTAGGTTATCTTGGATCTTGAGATAATAATGAAAACGTGACTGCCAAGTCACCCTTAAAAGGGTGGGAGCTAGCTATGCCTAGGACCCCAAGAACATATGTAAGCATTCCCCAGAAAGAGGAGACTGCAGGCAAGCCAGTCAACATCAGAAGAGAAAGCTTGTTGAAGTCCTTCTGGACAAAAGGAAAAGAGCCACAGGCTCTGAATGGAGGCGTGCTGGTGGGTGCCTCTCTATTGGGAAAGGGCTGGCGGAGGCCATGGTGTAGACATCCAGGTCTGAGCAGTCTTGGTGGCTTTAGGTTCTTGAAAGTACTTAAAACATTGGGAACAGGCCTGCAAAAGCCTGAGGTGAAAGCTGAGCATATGAAACCTGCCTGTAGCAGTGCTGGTATGCAGATGGTGTTTAAGATATTTTCACACCATCTCGTATACTAAGATATAAATTTCTCATCAGAATACCCTCTGAATAAAGCAGATGAATTCAGATTCATCTCCTCTTCTGCTGCCTTGTCTTTACCAGCCCAATTTAACCAATGGCAGCTGTGCACACAGATACTATGGCCTGTTTGAAGAATCTGACAGTACAATTTCCACAAAAGATTAGTAAGGATCACAGGTGTTCAAGATACCTGATAACCTGCAGAGTAGCGAGAACAATCCTAGAAATCCTTGAGATCCAATCTTCAGGTTCAAAGGAAGGTTGTGTACCAACACAGAAAAAGGAACGACTGAAGACTTCCCAAGATGGAGGTGAGGATACAGATTCCTCCCCTTCAGGTTCCACCAGAAGCAGCCTGGGAAGAGACTGATTTTGCACCAGAACTGAAGACGACCAGTTATGGTCTCAGCACTAGGGCAGTTTCATTGCTGATGATTCAACTAGCATTCAAGCCACCAAGGTAGTTCAACATGGGGAGCCGACTTTCCTGTTTTGTTCTTTTTTCTTCTCTTCTCTCTTCAATACTGGAGCATCCTTGGAATAGGCACTGAAGCTTGCTGACAGGCCTTCACAGATCCACTGTCTCCAGATTCCTTATAGGACCCACGGGATCCTAAGGAATGATGGTTCTGTCTCCTCTTCTCAGTATCTTGACACTGAGGAAGAATGGTGCAGAGAGAAACAACTGAGCCCACACCATTTCCCTTGTCTACTACACTGATCAAACTGTAGAGATGGAACCATTTCATGAACCCCTGAATCTCTGAAAACCAGAAGGATTAGGTAACTTATGCCTGAACATCGTAAGTCATTATGTCTCCATCCAGTCACCCTATATCTACAATTATCTCTGTTGTCTAATGCTACTTTCAGAAATCCTTTCAAGCTTAGAGATGAAGAATTCAACTTGTTCTTCAGTTACATGTTAAAGCCATTATGTTTATCTGCACCAATTCTCATTTACTGGTTCCTCTTCAGCTTCCAGCAATGGATTCTGGTATGCCACTACAGGGCTAGACAGTCTTCTGAAAAAGCACTTGGCCAAATCTTCTGAGCATCATCAATAGAACATGCATTTTCCTTTTTTTTCTTTCATTTTGTTTTTAAAGGGAGGGTAGCTTACATACTAGTACAGGTAAGAGTGACAGCATAAAGCACATTACCGTGGATGCAAGACAATAAAGTGTTACAGAGAATCAGCCATCCTCTTAGCCACTTAATTTAGTTCAGCCAGCAAAAGTTTGAGTGACAAAGACCTATCTTCTCATCACATAGCGATTGACTGCACACAGATGAAGCCAAAACCTGAAATACACTTGCATACCTCAGCTAACTTTGTTCCCTCTCTTTTGAAACTTACAGTCAACCACATCATATGCCTCCTTTCCTTCTACCCCCAAAAATACAGTTGAAGGTCTTAATAATAATCATCATCTTTATAATAATAGCAGCTTTAATAAGCTCTTTGCCTCTTGAAATAGTGTTTTTTGTCCCAGAAGGCATGTTACCAGAACTGGATGAAGCAACTTTGCATTTCTTGAACTTCTGTCATTACCTTAAGTACTTAAGGCTTAACAATGACAAGTCTTATATGTATTTTGAAAGCTTCAGGACTTTATGTCTAAGTGTTGCACCTAACCTATTCACATTAAAACAAAAACTGTACAGTAAATGTTATGAGAGCTAAAATGATACCACTGCATCTTTGCAGATACATCTCTCTACTCAAAAGTCCATCTCTTTTTTCACTCAGTACTAAAGACAACTGCTTGACTTTCATGCATTACTACAGTAAATGTATTATGCATTATCTTTCAAATTTTATTTTAAATATTTTAAGCATTTTAAATAGGAGGTACTCGAGCCTTGTGCTGACAGCCTGTGCTACCCTTAGGAGGGGCATATGCTGACAACAATTCCATTTGCATATCCACAGACTAAGGAGCACACCTACTCCAGTGAGCAGGTTTACAAGCAGCAGACCTATTACATTCCCTTTGCACCAGCCGTTGAGGTACACAAATTTTCAGTCCTCCCTGGCATCTTCTGATTTCAAGACTTGGTATAATTTTGGATTCTAAGTATTTTGTTAAACTGTACTGATGTGGAATATTAAGCTTCAAAATGTCAAATTTAAAAAGTAGCATGAACCTTCAATGTAGGAACATTTCCAGTACACAAAAGTAGCATACAAAACACACAGGAAAAACCTGAACTGCCTTAGAGTGGTATCTACCATTGCCTGGAGAAAAGAAAAGTTTGTGTAGCAGTATGCCTTTCATCCTGGAGGCTCAAGTCGAATATACTTGATAATGTGGAAGTGTTGATGCAGCTACAATATTGCCTACCACCCCTCCGACAGCCCCGACCATGGAGCAGAAGAGAAGGGACTCCCCACAGAATAGTGAAGTACCTGCTCACATTTATACTGACCAACTGAAAATCCAAAGCAAAACCCTAAAGAGCAGCTGACACAGACTGTTGAGACTTCAGGTGCAATCAGACTTACGCACTGAGTCACAATCAAATCTTGGCAGAAAGTAAAGAGAATCATTATCTTATAGGAAGAATAGCAATAAAGCCACTTAATATGCAATGAGTTACACACAACACTAGTCCTACTCAGAATCAAACTGTGAGGATACTACACCAGTAACCTACTTTAAAATGAGAAAGGAGAGACACTTTTCTTTCAAAGAACAACTTTAATTCTAGAATTACTACAAAACAGAACTAATTAACATTAAGTTGCAGCTTTCCTGTATTTTATAGAGGAAAAAAAACTCAAAAAAATGTTAAAGTGCTTGACTTTGCAGTTTTCAGTGCAACAAATGACTTAGGACTAACAAACACCATCTAATAATTTCCAAACACTTTTTAATTAAGGAACATAATTAACGTGAAAAGCTTATTTTATGTGCTTTTAATACTGATGGCTATTTTCTTCATCCTCCATCTTCGGAGAGGACTTTTTCCTTTTTTAAAGCTTGAAAGGAAACAAATCTAAGAATTTAAGAAGGTGTGCCAAAATTCAATAAAAATATTGAAGAACAGGTTTCTAGCTAGAGTCATATTAGTGAGCTGCATACAAGTTAGAGGATATGACTGTTTAACAAAAGGTTTGGGGTTTTGAGCTGCCATCCAAAATAAGTACACCCTGCTCCAGAAAAACAATTAATCACATTCTGAAACATTTGCACGTGATAGCAGACCCGCTATGCACTTTATCTATCCCTCAGTTCATTACCTAAAAAGATTTACTAGGCAGAAAGCTAGCAATAGACATCAATCTATGTAGACTAAACTTCACTTGGTAAAACTACTTCAGAGTGACAACAATCAACCCATAAAAATACTAAGTAGTTGGCTATTCAGTCTGCCATTACTAACTGCTTCTGTCATTTAAGAAAACATGGAACAGACATCAAATCAAAGCTAATAAGCAAGAAAAAAAGAATATGACGGACAGAGAATTGGACCCTTTTTCACTCTAAAGGTTACTAAAGCTTTTTGTAATTAGCTTTAAACAAACTCCTTGGATAATACAGTTAGTGAAGAACATATTAGACAGTATCACCTTAAAATATTACAGAAAGGTAAAAAAGGACTTACAGAAGCGGTTAAAGTCACTGACCTCTCACTAATTGCGTACATTTCACAACATCTGTGTGTGGATGTTCAATGGTAATCTCAAAACCTGAAGAGTTAAGAATGTGTTTTAGAATTATACATTTGCATCTGTAAAATAAAATCCAAACAACTTAGCTTTCCCCAGAGACCTAGAACGCTTGCTAAACCTTTGCACTACAGATCAGGTAACACTATTTAACTTCTGTACTTCTGAATGGTAGATGGTACAGCCACTTCAGGATCTTCTGGTGAAACATTCCTTCAATAACCTCAAGCTTGGAAAGTCACCGTATTTTTGAAGTTGAACGTAGCTCAACTTGTAGGTCAGTGACCTAAGAAACTTTTCTTTGTTTATGACGCTATTTTAAGAATTAGGTAACTACTGTTAGCTTTTGTTATTCATATACTCAAAATGGTATTTAAGAATATCTGAGTAAGACAGGATTCTCAGGCCTGCTAGCTGTAATTATCTGTTTTTATGTTACTCTATAGTCAGAAGATATTCTTATAAGAACATTCTATGTCAGATTTTGGAATCAACCAAATCCATTAAATGGCAACACTACGACTTGTGATGTTCAGAGGTAGTAACCCTGCTCAATTACATGATATTCTTTTATTGAAAGACAAAATAAGGAAGAGCACTTGGCGTAAACCTCTTCCCAATTGCTTCGGAACACATACATAGCTTATAGAGAAATATCAACATGTTAACTACTTTGGAGTAAAATCTGTTTGGAAGGGTGCACATTTCTACTCCATAAAACTGTCAGAAACATCTATTCCACAAGCATAGATAGGCATTTTTACCTCCAAAGTGAACACGAGCAACTTCTAACCTGAAACTGAATTCACAGGTCAGGAGTTGTATACAAAACCAGTAAAATTCTAGTGTACCAATAACACACTAAAAATCCAGCTACTCGGGTCCCATTACTTCTTCATGGGAAGTTGGCTGCACAAGAGGCATTAAGAAAGACATACCTAAAGTTTGAAGCATTATTGTTTCAAGTATAACCAGCTCTTGGGCTTGCTGAAGGTATGCCTGAAACAAATAAGCAAACAGGTCAAGACCTAGCTTTCCATCAGATAAAAATTTTAATCATACGCTTCCTATTGAATACTGGTACTAGCAACACAAGTTAAGACCACTACCCAAGCCAGTTAGAACTCACAACTCAGAATGCTTCACAGGAGTAATACTTTCTTCTACCAGTGTAAGTGTTCCTTCAAATTCAGATATCCCAGCCTAACCAAGATTTACTTATGTGGATCTCATATAAGCTATCCCAGCAAAGCATTTTTGGGAGAAAGGGGGGGATGCTGTAAGAACTACAAAGGTTTGCCAGTGCAAACCATCTCAAATATCTCTAGGCAGGTTATCCATTTTGTAAGTACTTTAACATACTGCTGGAGATACTCGGATGACCTGCATTAAGATAGCTTAAGATTGTGGGCTCATATGCACATGTACACGCATATATATACACATGCCTCTATGTATCATTCCAAGAACTAGGAACATAGCAAAGGCGCTAAAGTAATTTTGCACATCAGCTGAGGTCCAGCAGGATATAACTAGCTCAACCTGACATTCAAGCTGAACAACTCTGGTGTATTTCCACCATACTTCCTCATATCACTGAATCATCAAGGTTGTAAAGGACCTCTGAGATCACTGAGTCCAACACAAAAAATGAACAAACACAACCAATTACACACACTCCACCAAAAAACCACTCACAAGACCCCCCCCTACAACCTCAGCCACTACAGCATGCCCTAAAATGCCATCTACACGTTTCCCAATACCTCTAAGGATGGTGATTCATCCACCTCCCTGGGCAGCCTGTTCCAGTGCCTGACCACTTGTTCAGTACAGAAATTCTTAATATCCTCTTTAAACCTTTCCTGCCAAAACCTCACACTATTTCCTCTGGTGCTATTGTTATTTACTTGGGAGAACAGACCAACACCCACCCGCCTACAAACTTCAGCAAATGAAAGGAGGACCAGTGTACAGCAGAGGCAGAAGCCAACAACTATACTGTGTCCTTTAAAACAGGATGCAGACTACGGAGCACAGAGAGCTTCTGGCTGGGAAGGAGGAACACTGTACCAAACTGCTCTCTGCACAAATTGTGTGACTTGCAAAACCATGCATGAAGCCTCTTACAGTCTAATCTAATCTTCTACTATACATATACATTTCTTACAAATAATACAAGTTGGAGATGGAGCAATCTCTTAAATTTTTGTGTTATGAAACTTGAAGTCTTTAATAAGTTACATTGAGTAATACAAGATACTTAAATGGTGTAAATACACGAAATTTTTTTCTAGTTTGCAGACAGCAATAACTCAAGTCAAGACAATGTAACAGATTATTAGATAAAGTGTCATCTGATTATCTTTAAAACCATCACTTCCACCTACATCACACTTTGGATCCATTTGTGGCTCCTGAGGATGAAGACAGGCATGTGCTACTTTAATAACATGTTCAAGTTTCCGTGGCTGTTCTTCTACTTTTGCAGCCAAAAACAATGCCGTGGGAGCTATTATCTGAAGAAGAAAAACATATATGTATTTTAAAACGTTTTACAAGTAGGACATTAATTTTTATGGAGAGTCTTAACTGGTAATTAGAAAAGGTTTCAGAAGTTGTATTTCTTTGTATATTTTAAAGTTTTTAGACAGTTATGAAATCATGCAAGGCAACAAAAATAATCACGTCATGTTTTATTTTATAATTGATGAAATCCTCTCAGCAGCACAGAAGAGTAACATAACTGCTAAATTACATTTGTGTGCAAGATGTCTGAGGCCAAACTAATTCTAGTTCAACAGAAAAACTATAGATTTAGTCCAGAAGATTTAATCACACTAGAACAGGCTGTTTCAAGTTAAATATACTTTGTGATAAAGTTAATCCAATTTCTTGCACAGTAGTGATCTATTACACTGTATTTTCAGTAAAAGTCAAACAGTTGACCACAAGTTCTGCTAACATTTGACTCTCCTAAAAAGTAAGAAAATTTGCAAAGAACTTCAATAAAACCAGCTTGTTATTACATAAATATAGGTTGTATATGTAAAAGCTTACTCTCAGAAACTTTACAATATACTCAGCAGTATCTGGAGAACAAAGCACAAGGATTAATGAAACATCAGTTAAATCAAATGTTAGTAAAGACTACAAACTACATTTAATTTTTATAAAACTCTAGGTGTCTTAAGCTGGCAGCAAAGCACCCATTTGAAGTTCAGTGCCACCTAGGAGTTAGCTCTGAGGTAGAGTTTTGATGCCTAGGTGTCAGCTAGAGTGACTGATGTATCTATACACAGAACATGACTAGTCATCAAAGACTTGGAATAATGAGTTCTCTTAGCATAGAGACGTTGCCCATATTAAACAGGAATTAAAGTGACAGTAAAAATTCTCAGGTAGACATAAGCAGATTAAATTGGTTAAAATTAAGTCAGTATGAAGCATTCATTCAAAGACTGAAATAGGTTCTCGTTGAGTATTTAATTAATGCATGGTGCAAGCAGTGCAAGTATTGAATTTCTCACTCAATGCCCAAATAGAACTAGACTGAATGAACAGAATAGCAGCCATACTTCCCCCTGAAGTCGGGGGAAGGTTTTGCCTTTTTTTTTTTTTTTTTTTAATCCTGGTCAGCAAGGAGTCCTTTCTTATGCCAAAATAAAACATTTGGTATAAAAAATCATAATATATGAAAAACTGCAATGAACTAATTAGAATCCAACATTTAAGTAACTACCCATTACATTTCAGGAGCTTTCAACTGAGGGAATACTTTTCCTCTCCTTAAATCACTTTGAAATGTCCACTTGGATCTTAGGCAAAACTTTTTGTTTGCAGACTTGAGGAAAACTGACACCTTGGGAAGGTGATACCCTGTGATGCATAGAAATGTGCCATGAAGAAGTCTAGTATTCTAAAAAACCTCAAACCACCCCGAACAAGTCACAGGGAGCAAATTCTTCCACAAGGGAGACAAAAGAACGGCTTTCTTTTTAAGAAGCTTGTAACTTTAACCTTACAAATTAATGAAATAAAAACCTGAAGTCAGATGTTGCTGAACAAGGCCATATTAACATTGTAATTTAAGACTTCTGATGTTATTTATGAAGTTCCTACCCACGCTGCTTGAAGTACTTAATAAAAACTCTCAAATAAATTTCCTTTCTAGGGACACACTACTTGAAATGTGTCTCACTTAAGTTGGGAGATCAACTTTTAAACACTAAGTGTAAAATAAAAACCTTCTGGACTTCAGAAAGCTAGAGTATCAACAACTTTCACAGGATCACAGAATGTTAGGGGTTAGAAGGGACCTCAAAGATCTGGTCCAACCCCCTGCCAGAGCAGGATCCCCTAGAGTAGCTCACACAGGAACACGTTCAGGTGGGTTTTTAATCTCTCCAGAGAAGGAGGCTCCATAACCTCTCTGGGCAGCCTGTTCCAGTGCTCTGTCACCCCCACACTGAAAAAGCTGTTCCTCATGTTTACGTGGAAACTCCCATGCTCCAGTTTGCACCCACTGCCCCTTGTCAATCACTGGACATCACTGAGAAGAGCCTGGCTTCATCCTCCTGACACTCGTCCTTAACGTATTTGTAAACACTGATGAGGTCACCCCTCAAGTCTCCTCTTTTCCAAGCTAAAGAGACCCGGCTCCCTCAGCCTTTCCTCATAAGGGACATGTTCCACTCTGTGGCTCTGCACTGGACTCTCTCAAGCACTTCCCTGTCCTTCGTGAACTGAGGAGCCCAAAACTGGACACTACTCCAGATGTGGCCTCACTAGAACAAGGGTAAAGGGGGGGAAGCACCTCTCTCTACTAACCATACCCCTTCTAATACATCCCAGGATGCCACTGGGATGCAGCACACACACATGTATAACCCAACACATGCCACATATTTTACAGAGCAGACAAATTGTGCTCCAGCCCAGTAATGACAGAACCAATGCATCTACAGCTCTTTCATCCACATAAGCCCAGTGTGCTTCAGGTATTTAGGACAGGCATAACTGAGGCAGGAGTCTGAGGCTCCTAGACCAGGGCCAGTCTAAGGGGAAGGATTCTCAGACATAATCCTGAGCTTCTAGGAAACATCAGACTAGCAGACAGGGCCAGGAAGCCAGAGAAACACAAATGACTGAGAGAAGAAACTGGGAATATTTAAGGATCAACAGTTATGAAGAAACAAGTTTGACAACAAGACACTAAACAGAAACAAGGAAGTATTAATGAGGACATCAGAGACTAGAAATGTTTTTTTTTTACTCTGGAAGGATACAATGAGGTCAACCATGATGGACTAAAAACTAAGACTCAGCACAGTGAAGTCACTAAGGAAAGTTAAGTCATGCAGTGTGTAGAATCAGAAATAGAATGGATGATGGGAAGAAGCAATAGAACGTAAATAGAAGATCCCTTCCATCTCCCCAGGATCACACTATTCCCCTCCTTTTTTAATTTAGAAAATCACCAAACCCAGATATTTACTCAGTAACCTGCAGCAGTGCCTTACTGCTGGGCTGAAGAACAAAAGCAACCGCACTGTGAGCACTGAATGTTGCTCCCTGCTGCTGCCCCCCTTCCTCCAGCCTTCCCATCCCCACCAACCATCACTCACTTACTCCCAAGTACCTGCATTGAGACCTTACAGGTTTTTCTACCTTTGCATACAAATTTAAGTCAAATACATCCTAACACAAGATCTTTTCCTACACAGTTTGTGGGTGAAGTTGCATATACATGGAATTTTCAATTTACCTTTCTGAAAAATCAACCTCCAATTACCATGGCTGAAAATAATTACATTTCAGAGACATTCGTTGAACCAAGTCACCAAAAACTGCACAAACAAGTAATTAGCAAATTCTCACTATTATTTTACCCCTGACTGCACTGAAGTTTTACTTCATTCCAAAAAAGCACCTACTTCATCAAGTTGACTTGAGTGTTTTCTAATTTACTGGAACATAACAGTTCTGGCCAAGAAGTCTCCACACGATTCTTGATCTTCAAGACTTTCTCTCAAACACAGTTCTGAAGGCTGATTTAAGCCAAACTGCTTAACTGGCATTTAATTCTGGTTCAAAAGAGATCTGTGAACACCCCAATTATCTATTTCCAAAAAGCGTTGGCTTCTGGTCAAATTTCAGGCCTTTATCTTGTCAAGAGGTATGATTCTTCTTCCCAGTTCAGAGTAGGTCAGTATTTTTGTCTCCCTTGGAATTTATTCAGGAAAATAGACATCCTAATAAAATGTCAGACTTGGCATGAGCATAGTCTTCAGTGAAGACAACATGCCCTGCTAAGTGTATAACTGGCAAAGTTACTCAAATGCTTTCACTTATTTCCAATTCTCCTAAATGGCAGAAAAGCCAAAGTAGAACAAAAAAAACAAAATTAAATCCACAGACTTAACAAAGCTGTAAGCTTCCTATATATAAACATCTTCATTTGACATAAAATAAGCAGAATAATTTTTAAAAGTTATCTACTGTGCACCCAAAATATTCTTCAAGATTTTGAGAAGTATCTTCAGAACACCACATGTGATTTATGAAATTAAATCACATTTTTGCACTGAAATATAAACACCAAAACCTGAGAGCCCTATTCACAGTCCAAGACCATTATACAGCAGGTTTTATTGGTAAAGGTGGTATGAGTCCGTTTTCACTTAGTAAGTACATGACATACTGTAAAACACAGTGTTGCTACAATGAATGCATCTGGAATAATCTCAGAAGACATCTGCAGCATGCAGGCAGTTTCCTGAGAACTCTCCCTTATAATGACACTATTAGAAAGGTTTTGGACTTGTTACAAATGAGCTTAAGACATTAAGTGGTTCCAGTCAGTGACAGAAGTTTTTCAAGTTCAAAAAAAAAAAATACAGTTCCAAGGGTTTTTTTTTTATTAAAACCAGGAGCTCACATTGCATAAAACTGGCAAATACTGTTAAATGGCAAGATTAAAACCAGAAGTGTCCCCAACAGCCTCACTAAAGCTTGGTCCACATTGTGAAAGTTTAAAGAACTCTGTGCAATTGCAAAGTCAACTTGTTTAATACTGCAATTTGGACAGGGCATGAAACAGAAAGGGAATAAAGAGGGATGGGAAACAAAAAATACCCTCCACACAACTCACTTACCTTGTATTGCAGGGAAAAAAAATCCTTCTGCAGCCTCCTTTAGGCACTTTACTAAGTTCCACTGCAAGTCACACAAAAAACCCTTGACATCATCAAGTGTATTTTCAACTGCTTGGTTGGTATTCCACATGGCATTTCTAAGCATTATATTTAAAAATACAGCTACCATTTGTATGCCTTACCTCTCATTTCCAGCATACCAAGGATTTTTCCCCTTCTCTGTTCCTCAAATCACAGTGCACTGAAGAATAAGCCTCTAAAGAGGCATTTGCTATGTAATATCAAACACACAGTACTACAGAAATAGTATTTCCAAAATAATTTTAATTCTCAAAGTATTTTGAAGTTTAACAGTCAGGCTAGTATTTCCTATAAAAAGCCAGCAAGCTCCCCCCAACCCCCATATTAACACTGACTAACTTTATACTCAGCAAACCAAAGTTAGCACACCCTGGTCAACAGTAATGTATAAAAACAAATCTGTACTACTGCTAAGGAGATTCATAGCAGTTTCTGAAATGTCATTTTAATGGCTAGGAAAAAACTAATAGCCAGGGCATCCAGTTCTCCTTACCAGAATTGGTAAAGCAAGTTTCCATCCTATTACTGGGGCACAGCTACCTCAACAAGGTCTTAACCTCTTTTGAGAGGTTAACCCCAACACATTCCTCTTTGCACCTGAAGGTATGTACTTCTTGGATAATCCATAGCAATTAAACAGTGACTTGCTAGCCCATTGTAACTTCACAAAAAAGGGGCATTTGGTGACTTGAGCAGTAAATGTAATAATTGCAACATGAACCAAGATGACATTATATGCTATGTGCCACCCCTGTGGCTCTACAGATAGAAGATACCGTTGTGAATTCTGTTCCCTATTCACAGTTGATTCTCAAAATCTTGAAAGCCTGTAGAATTGCTTAGCAGTATCTTTTATTGAGGGGGGAAAAAAAGAGAATTAAGAGAACAGCTGTTCAGTAAATGAGCTTTCCCTGGAAGACCTGTTTATTAACAATTAAGTACACATGACTTATGTAAACATACATAGATAATTGTATAACCCAGCAATTATACATGATCATAAATATGCAAGTGTTTATTACTTGACTGAAAACATTAACCTACCGATAAAACAAGAAAACAAAGGCTGTAGTTTTTTAAGCTGGAGATTGAAAGGCATTCTGACTACTGGCCATCTAACTTCGTAACGACAGCCTTCAGATTCCTTCTTGCTATGAATAAACTACACACAAACCATAAACTGCAGAAAACTGTAGCTAGGGCTTAGCTTCAAGACTACCAGTATCTTACTACTTGATTTCTAAGGGTTAGCTCCTTCTTGCAGCTGATGAATATTGTCACATTTTTCAACTTGCCAAGTACTCTGGAGATTTGATATTAAGTATTTATTACAGCCCTCGGCTTTTGCTTTCTCTGAAGAGAACATGACAGATGGTTTGGAGTATTTATAAGTGACTCACATTCACTTTGAGACCACTCCCTTTACCCTATAGGAAAATACATAAGAACATGCATTTGCCCATGAGCACACACACAAAGTTGCTGTCTGGCCTTGCACTCACTACACAAAGTAATTCAGCAGTAATCAATACTACTAACTGCTACCTTGCAGTGTACCTGCCTTTAACTTTTATTTGAAGACAACTACCTGAGAAGTAACATAACAATACACTCCCACCCCCCAATACTTGTAGTTTCCATGGCATTCAGCCCTTACACAGCTTCCTTGTCAATGTTAAGATTAATAAATGTAACTAAGGTGTAGTTTTCATAGCAAGGGCACTATATATCCAAATACTGCTGTACTTCCCGTCCCAAGTGACTGGCATTTTCCAGTGTCCAGTGAAAACCTTCACACAGCAGCTAAAGCTTCTTGCTACCTAAGTCTATCCTAGATTACCAGATGACAGTACAAACTGGTAATCTAGCAGGTGATGTATAGAACACTAACCCCTGCTACAGCAGCTCTACACAGAATGACCTCTCCATTCCGAGAAGCTCTGCCTAGTTTATCCAGTCCACAAATCATCCACAGTCACAAGAAAGTGCCTCACCAGCTCTTCTACCCCTGGCTACAGGTTCCTGCTACACGGCAGGTCCACAGAGGAGAGAAAAATGGAACAGCTCTTTTACTGCTTTCACTTGATATATCAGAGCAACATTTTCAAAGGGTATATCCCACCACAAAGCCTGCTGGAACTCGATTCTCACATGTGCTACTCCTGCTCTAAAACTAGAAAACTGTTTTAGGAAAGGACATTTTTATTTAAATGTATATCCATTCAATATATAGTTCTCTATCACTACATAAAAAACCCCTACTACCCTATTTCTTCTAGCTGAAGTGTTTTAGGCTGATGCACACTTAGCTAAAGTTGCACTTAAAAACACTCATCTTTTTCTACAGAAAGACCTGTAACGCCACAGGTTTGGTAACAAGCCTGCTGCAAGTTTGAATTTACCACAGATTTAAAAAAATATAAAAATAACCAGATACTACTTCTGAAATGTATTTACATATGATTATGCCTTTCTTGCCAAGTAAACACCACACAAGATACCCATTTGCTCAGCCGACAAGGACAGACAAATCCGCACCAGACAGGAGTTGGCTAAGACTGAAACCCACTGTGCACTGCCCAAACTTCACACAGGGCAAGGTCTGCAAGATTCTAGCTCTTGGTAGACCAAGGTCTGCTCTGGCCTAGACCACAACATCTGTCACAGTCTTTATATTTTATCATGTAAAGCCAAGATCTGAGAAAACAACTCCTCACCATTCAGAGATACACCACCACCATTACTAACCGTTCTTGCAAAACTGGTATAAAATACTGATGCAAAGTACTTTTAAAAAAACAAAACAAACCAAAACCCACAAAAATACCTAGAACATTAGTGTGCTTCTAACTACTGCATCCAATACTGGACATAAGTCTTAAAATTTTCAAGGTGGGACCTCAAGTTCCATACCTATGAGAAAAATCACTTAACTAGAGTATTTTTACAGAACTTAGATCTTTATAAAATACTCTGTATTTAGGTTCAGCATACTTGTTCATGAGAAAGAGAGCCAGCATTTTCTCATCAGATTTAAAGACTTTCCATGTCTCATATGACTTATCATCAAGCTGCTTAAGACTAAACTAGTTACATGAATTTATGCTGTTTTTTAAGAACAGCTACATAATCCATCTGGATACACACATAACCATATTCTAATTGTCACTGCCACTGACTTCATTATGAAAAATGTGTGTTCCTACACATCAGCCTTTCCAACTACAGCACATAAGCACTAGCCAGATTTGAAACATCTAAATACTTTCCTCTCACATCTGAAATGGGTTTGCTGATAGTGCCTATCTTTTTATTTTGATGGCAGAAGATCAAATCTAATTGCCACCAGTTAAAATAACTCAATGTTGAAAGGAAGTATCATTATTGCCTCTTAACCACTGATGGAAGTCCTATAAGCAAACCAAACTTTACAATCCAGCACAGGAATGTAACACTTGTCAGTCAGACTGCCAAGCAGGCATATTATTATCACATATAAAAATAATACTTACATTTCGATTGAATTTTGTGAAGGAATGATGCATGTAAAACCTGTGCATGTACACAATTGCAGTATTTATTGTAAGCTGAGATCTGGAAGATTAAATTAAGGAAATGCTACGTATTAAGAAAACTGTTCACAACAACTGAAAGTGGTGTGCTTTCTACATCACTGCTCGAAGATACTGTCTTCAGCTCCAAATTAATTAAGGACGTGATACTTCAGAACTTAACTGATAATAACACAGACTTAACCAATATCAACACTTATCTTTCCCATCTGTTTCACAGACAATGTGGAGATTCCTACACCAGATCAGCCACATCTCAGCCACTGCATGAAAACTCCTCCATGGGCGATATGCACTTAAATACCGTGTCAAGTGCTTTTGTTTTGTTCTAATTCAACTATTTCTGTCGAGGAGTTGCGGTTTGAGTCTTAATCTAACCCCTTTATAAAAAACCGGGTTAAAAAGGAGTAAGGAGGAGATGCCCACTTCAAGGAGAAGGAGCCCGCGAGTACCCGGGACCACTTGAAAAGTCCCTCAGCCCGCAGCTACCGATGGAAAGGCGGCTGAGGGGCCGGGCGGGAGCCCCGAGGCGTCCCTACCCCCAGCCCGCGCCTCCCGCACACGCCGACAAAGGCGGCGAAGCGGGGGCTCCCAACAGGCTCCTCCTCCCATTCTGTGCCTCCGGGCC